TGACTCTAACCTGCTTGAAGATTAATGTGCAAAGATAAGCATCTCTCCCTGATGTATTCAGCAGCGGTACTTTACTATCGATGCAGATTCCCGATAGGTACGTACGGATGATACAATCACACCAGAATGCTTTGATTTTAATTAAAAGGGGAATTACACTCCCAAGTAGAAAATCCCTATTATACTAAAACATTTCTTCTGATCTTTCAAAACAAGTGAATAGTGAGACCTGAACAAATAAACTTTATCTTGTCTTTGGGTAAGTGACACTCTGGTTCAAAGTAGTGTTTGAATTCTCTTGGTAACACTAGTAACTCTCCCATTCTTACCAGTTTTTATGTTTTTTCCCTGATATTTTGTGCAGAATGTTTCCCATATTGGTATATTTTAGTTCCCATTGACATACCCATTCAGGCTCTAACTCTATGTCATTAAATTGCATAATTACCTGTCACATTACAGGAGTGACCTTTGATTTGGAGTCCTAACGGTAAGCTTAACGAGTTAGAGATGTCTGCACTGCTAATAATTTGTGTTTGTAAGATTCTCATAATAGTATTGACATTTGGGCTGCATTGGTGAAATCAACAAAGGGGAGATAAACTTAATCAAAATTCCTGTGTGGTGCATAGCGTCCCACTGTGATTTGAGACGTAACATTTGTAGTTTGTCATCACCTGTCTATTTTAATAAAGTCCTGCTTGTGTTTAAAACTTTAATTTTAGCCAGGTGAACGTAGCTGTACAGGGAAATCTCTACTGGAGTAGCTTGTGGCGATTTTATTTGAAGAGGAACTAATTGCTTTGGTTTCAGGAATGTTCTTCCACCTGAGCAAGAGCCAGCTCTTGATGTTGCCAATTCAGCGGCAACCAAATCTTGCAGCAGATGGTCAGTAATGTCCTTGATGTTCAGATGTGGGGGAACACCCGTGTGTGGTGTTACTTGCCAAAGACTGAGCGTGGACTGCCCGGCACCGACGGGGCTTGTCTGGGTAAGGTTTGGTAGTTGTCAGGTTGTCTCTGGGAACCTGCTGTGTCCCAGCGCTGGTGATTTTGCTCTGGAGGGGCGAGTAGCTGATGGCATGGTACAGCTGAGGATTCGGCAGACAGCTGAAGCAGTGGCCTACCTTTGACCAGCCCCCTTTCCCCCCCAATAGCGTCTCTCCTTTATTTTTTTACTTCTCACACAAGAGGTGATGCTTTCTCATGACAAGCAAGTTTGAATAGGAAGAGGGTGAAAATCTTTGGAGGCTTGCTAAGCAAATTTGTCCAAAGACTGTCTTGTTTCCCCAGGGTCATCCAGCCGTAACCGTGCCGCCTGTCCTTTTGCTTTCCATGGGAGGTACAGCGTGTTACAGCCTTAGCCCTTTGCTGGGGCTATGGGAGCTCATGCAGAGGAGGGGAATATTTGGGCTTTTCAAGACATTCAGGGTGTTTGGGCTCTGGAAGAGGAGGTTCTAGTGGATATAACTAGGTTGTACCTGCTTCTAGGAGAGAGATTGTGAATTGCAGGAAAACTAGAGGAAAAAAAAAAATAGGACCACACTGTTCTTCATGTTTCTTTTTTGAAAGCGTGTTAGAGAAAAATGATACTCCACAGTACAATTTCCCTGCCTCTTTCAGGATGCTCCCAGGCCTGTTTGTGTACATGTGCCCTGACTTGCCGGTAGCCTTTTGATAGCCTCTCCTGCTCGAGCACAGGGGAGCTGTCTGAGCATCAGTTTGCTTGGGAATTCCCTTGAAAGCATCACTCATCATTGAAATCCTGCTTTGTGCTGTTTGGCTACATAGGTGATCATGTTCCTCCATGAAACACGTTAACAATACCTTTCGTGACGTTGATTTGACAGGAATAGCTTTTAATTTAGCTACGCCTCATTTGTTCCTGTGTGAAACTTGTCTTTACTGACAGTATATGTTGTTCATGTTTTTGACTCGTAGATGCCTCAACGTTGACCAATTAATTCTTCTTAGCTAGATCTCTTGATTTTTGTAGTAAATTCCTTATCTGCAGAGAAGCCCAGAAAAACCTTTCAGCTTAATTACCATATTTATTCAGTGCAGCACTATGGGGTTCTGATAGGGATCAGATGTTCCTCATAGCAGTGTTCTCCTGAAACTTCATTTCAGTGTATGAACAACAAAGAGAAAGAGAGCAGTGCATGTGGATAATAGAAATTATTTTGTATTGAGAAGTTATTCAGATTGAAATGAATTCTTCATCGCTATAATATTCAGGAGTAAATGAAATCACAGTTGAGTCTCGGTGAGTTAATAAAGGAGAAAAGTTCTTGGTCTTTAAAGGCAGAACGTTGCCTTGAGGTCTGTGCAGCCGTGAGGACTCTTGTATGGGGTGAACTCATCACGTAGCTGAGACAAGCCCGAAACAGGAGGGGAGGTCATTCTGTGTGGGTGACCAATAACTCGATGCGTCCAAGCTCGTTAAACTTTTGATGATGGTAGAAACTGAACTCTGTTCCTTTTTAGTCTGAGCTCTGTGCCATCAGTTTGCTACTTTTTGGATTTTTGCTTTTAATGTATCTTAAGCACAGCAGGACTCTTGTTGGATGGTTTGCATCCTTAAAAAAGGCAAACTGCAAGAATGTGGTATAAAACGAATGCCTTCTGAATGTCATCTACTGCATGGAACAGTTTCCACTAATTAATGTGTTACTTTTTAGCTCAAACAATTAATGCTTCAAGATTTCTAAGGGTTTTGATAAATTTTCTTAGAATATGGGGGTTTTTTATTTTCAAATACAGTGATATCTTGTGCTCCTCACTTGTCTGGAGCACATACGTAGGGATTTTGTGCAGCAGTGAGATGGAGCAAGAGAAAAGGAGAAGGTGCTACTGAATTCCCTACCTCTGTAATGAAACACTTGTGTTCAGAGTCAAGGGTTTTGTTGAGGCGGATTCCAAATGTGCTGTTTCCCATAGGCTGCAGTGGTTACAGCTTCCTCGAGGTCTCTTTGCTTGGGATGTCCTCACTGGTCTGGTTGGTGAGCATGACAGTGACATGAGTTTGTTATTACTCTAGAGGAAGGGCAGTAGATCAGTCTGTCAGCTTGTTGGTGATGCTGTGTGTGGCCAAGATGGTCTAAATCATGAGAAGGACACCTTGAGTCCCTGTAGGCTGAGTGTTTTTCTGTCAGCCCATCTGTCTTTTCCATGGGCAAAGTGGAGGGATGTAGTGAGGAACTAATACTTTTTATTGTGCTTGAAATTGCGTAGGAAGACATAAATTACTGAAAGACCTGCTGTGTCCTAAATGTTGAAATAAATTTGTTCACTTGTAGTTTTGTGTTTACTCTTTGGTCTTCACTATCAACTGGAAATATAAAAAGGAAGTCTGCTGGAAATACAAGGATCTAGGCAAAATACGTTACGTATTTCTCACTTCTATTCCCTCACTGCTCTATGACCAGACAATATCCAAACTCACTCTGCTCCTGCATCTGTCTTACACATGTCTTTTAAATTGGGCAGTATATAGGTCCTGTGTCTTGTCTTCTCTAGGTAACTTCTATTTTCCTTCTCTGTTTTTGTAGTTAGATGCCTCTGCTATGAAACTGTGGCTTTCTATGAGGCTTTCCCTGAGTCTGGTGCTCAGTGTTTAAAACTTGATGCTGATACATGATTTCTACTTTCCTGTTTCAGGGTTTTTCTACACAAGCCCCTTCGGATTGCTCCCAGGAAAAAGGTTTTGTCTTGATGCAGTTACTTTTTCTGTCTGGCTAGATCTTGTCTAAATGCTGGTAGTCCCATTAGGTGAATAAACCAAACTTCATCATAGGCAGGCACTGGTACCACAGCCTCTCTTAGCACAGTGTAAGTCAGAGCATGAAATATTCAGGCATAAGGATATTCAGACAGTTGGTAAAAGAAATCTGGGACTCACGAACTGTATATCCAAAATTCCATGAATCCTTCAGGGAAACCTTTGTTGTCAGGAGCTGTGTGCACACTTGAACTTGTGCCTGTTGCTCACTGGGATATCGAGCATTAGCTTGCAACCCTTGTATCCTCTGTTTCCCCAGAGGAGAGGATTTAAATGCTAGTGATCACATTTACCCAGTGATCAAAGTGCTGATATTTGAATAAATTAGAATGTTTCAGGTCTTTCTAGTTGCAGGTCAAGCTTTTTGGGCTGATGGTTCTAGTGGACCTTAGAAGGCTTTTTCAGTTTTCTCAGTGTTTTTCCTGTGAACTTGCGATCAGAACTAGATGTATTATGTGGGACTCATTAAAGCCCAATATAGGGGTAAAAAGTTAGGCATTATTACGTGATATTCCTCATTTCCTCTTTCAATAATCAGATTCGTGTGGTTGATCTGTGTCTACAGTGGGAGCTCACTGCCAGTTGAGTAACTTTGAGCGTCTGATGCTTCATTTTCCTTACGTACCTGAAAATTAAGCTCAGCTGAAACTCTTCTGTGAAGGAAGGCTGCCTTTGTAGGCACTGAGCGTCCCTCTCGAAGAGAGACACGAGCCAGATGCAGTACATGCTTCTCCCGAGTTGTTAGTACTCTTTGCTTAGTGTCCAGGGCATATGGTGATGTTCAAAAAGTATCTGCAGCTCCTCACTACCTGGAGGTGATCAGCATCTGTGGGACCTACTCTGGGGTTTTGTTGAACTGAAAAGTATGTCATTCACATGTTTAGCAAGTGATCTCTGCTTTGGGTTACTAACCAGAAGTCACAGTTCAGGCTTTCAGTCCTTAGCCGCTAACTTCACACGCCTGCTGCATGGGAGAGCATTTGTGCTGTTCTAGGGGTTATTTTTCCTGGCCCTTGCCAGGTTGTTGGAACGACTCTGATCTGCTCTGGTAATTCTGTGTTTGAATTCCACTGATAAAGGCACCGAGCAGAGCTCAGGCTAATGCACATCTCTGCCAGATCCCTGTAAAAGCACCTCTGCTGTGCGCAGCAGTTCCCTCTTTACTGCATGGCTGTTCCCGTCGTAAGCCTGCTTTCTCGGCTTGTTCTCTCTTGTTCCAGGCTGCAAGCATGTGAAAGGCATTCTCTTGTATGGACCTCCAGGCTGTGGTAAAACACTTATGGCGAGACAGATTGGCAAGATGCTGAATGCCAGAGAACCAAAGGTGGTCAATGGTCCAGAAATCCTCAATAAATATGTGGGCGAATCTGAGGCCAACATCCGCAAGCTGTTTGCTGATGCAGAAGAAGAACAAAGAAGGGTAATGCAAACATAGATAAATAGCATGGTCAGTATGAATGTGCCTAAAGAATGACCGGAAAGGAGGTTTATAATGAGAAAATTACTGCTTGCATTAAACGACTGAGTCACTGCTTAGCTTGTGATTATAGTTACTCCTGTAACTGAATATTAGTGTTCTACAGAGTCACACAGTCAGCTGAAAAAAGCAATCTTAGAACCTGAAAAGGTAGCTGGTCTTCTAGCTAGCTATGCTGGAGATGGACAGGGTGATTAGATTCCATGCAGAGTTATTCCAAAGTAATACATAGTGCCCATCCTGCTATGCTTTGTATTATGTGGTGTGTCACCTGCTCAAAAAGTGCTTAAAAATGGGGTTGTGAGAGTTTTTCTGGTTTTTCTTTTCTCCTCTTTTGTGGGGAAGACATAATTAATCTATTTGGATTTTTGCTACTAAATTCAGGTGGCACATAGCACAGGATGAGTTTCAAATAAGCTTGCATGGTTTCAGATTTTTGGGTTACAGGCTTTTTAGTATATTAGAATCCTCAAAGTGTTATAATCAATACATGTCAATTTTTCTCAGCAGAAAACTGGTGGATGAGAATAGAGTCTCAAAACTAGACAGTATGGATCTTTGAAACTTGGAGACAAAGATTCTGTTTTTTCCAAACTTGGTGTTTGTATCCATTACTTTAGCTGGCTATCAAAAGCCCAGTCTTTAGTTTGAAGATGTAAATACTTATTTCACGTGTGCAATGGTAATTTTTCTCTGCTGTGGATTACTTAATCTTGATAAGGTTTTCTGGTAAAGAAAATACAATGTCAGGCAAGTCACAGTTAAATATAGGGAAGCCTTTTCAGAAGACATTAGCAAAGGGCATTGTATCCCTTAATTGTGTTTACGCCTAACAAGACTGCGGATTTTGCTAGTGGCTTGAAACCATTTAATTTTCTTCTGCAAAAGATTTATTAATCATTAAGTCAGCTTAGCGTGGTAACCCATACTGATGTAAACAATCTCCTTCTCTCTGGTTGTTGCAATGTAACTGAAAGCTGTGAGCTTCTTTTCCTTTGCAATAACACACCTGTTAAAATAGACTTTATATTGGCTGGAGGGGATGGTCCTGATGACAAGTTGCGAGATTAAAAAGGTCTCGAAAAGGTTGGTATTGTAATGACTTGTGTCTGGGGCAGATTGCCAGTGACAGCACATTTACCCAGTGTTAATATGGTCTCCACTGTCCACAAAAGATGTTTTAGAGCTGGAATTTGAAGGGAAAAAGCTTCATAATACGGTCACAAAAAGTATCCTGTTCTCTTACCAGCTGCAACTGCTTCACCTTTGAGTGAACCTGGAAATAAGCAGTTCTGCTCCTGATTGGCACTGAACGAATGGACTCCTTAAAAATATCAAGAACAAAGCTGGTCTGGCAAGCTGTACGTTTACCAACTTCAGTACAACCTGGGGTATTTCCCGCATCGGGTGCATCCCTCCGCAGATGTGCTTTGTTCTCTGCCTCTCTTTCGGAGGGCTGTCCCAGATACTGAGTACTGTGACCCTTTGAGCTTTGGGCTTGTGCTTCTCTCGTTCAGCCTAGACCTCTCCCTTGAAACACAGCTTCTCTTACCAGTGTCAGCTGTGAAGCCCTATGTTTGGGCAAAGCCCACTGACCACCCTGTTGCAGAGGATGGCAAGATGTTATTCTGGAAAGGGGTCTGATACGTACATAATATGTGATACTGAACTGCTTGGAGGTATCAAAGTTCTGTGTCTGTGTGGCTGAGCTTGTTGAGAGGTTACTGTTTTGTCTGG